GTAGAGAAGGGAGAGAGGAGGGCTTAACGTCTTGTCACCTAGGAATGCTCGCGGAAATGATGACACAGGTAAGACCATCGTAATGTTGCGTTTGGCTGAGAGCGGCCGGGCGTGGGGGTGTTGGGTGCCGAGGAGTGGTGACGGTGACTGTGCCGGTGGCGATCATTTAAACATTTTTTTCTTTATTAAAACTACACTTTACTTTACATCTACCTCAACTTCTATCATCAGGAGCATGGGAGTGCCGACTTGTATTGTCGTACTCAGCAATCTGTAATGACGTGTAGGACGTCAAGGTGTCATTTCCTGAAACACCTTTGTGATCGTTTTTAATTCGCCCCCGCCTAAATCATTTAGCCTAAGACAGTGCTTGCCAGCCTGGGCGTCTTCGCCCATAACTGCATAAGTGGACGTTTTGGTAATTTATTTTGGTGGGCGGTGGAGATCACCTGACCTAGGCTGTGACAGATGTTATTTCAATATGCCCCGCTTGGAAATGCATGTTGGTGGGTGGTACATGTACGAACCTGTTTAGCCTCTTGAAGGTGGCAACAGTGGGCGCTGCCTAATCAAAATAAAGTTGACAAGTACTGATTACGGAGGTGGGGTATTTCAACCCTGCTTGATAGCATCCTATTAAACCCCCCTCCCCCAAAAAAAAGAGCAAAAAGAAAAAACGAAACAACGATGGAATTACTTGCTTTTGAAAAAATAGACTTCGCACACTTCGCTTTTGTGTGCAAGGTCAATTAATAGCCAATACAACACATACACTGGTGATCAAACACTTTAGTAAGATACTAAGATGGTGTGTGATGTTTTGTTTCTTTTTCAGCTATAATATCTTGTTCCGTGTTATGATAGTTTTGTCGATTCCCAAAATAGCACCATTGTTGTTAGGTGGGGTTTTTTTTACAGTTGAAAAAGTAGACATGCATGATCTGTAGGCTGATGCTAGAAATACGGATGCAGATGCAGTTATAGGTGATGCCATGGGGACTAATGTCTGAAACCTGCCCAGCTCCTCTGTGGAAGAGTTTTTGTCTTTGTATTGAGTATTCACATGGGCTTCCTAAATTTGAGCCCAAATTTTCTTGCT